GGCACGGCAGGAAAATGGCGGCAACAGGCAGGGTGTGTAGACGACCGCCTCGAACACGAGGAGAGAGCGAGAGAGCAAGGGGCGTGTCGCACTGCCTCTCTCATGGGGTTCTTCGGCGCCAGTTTTGCATTTCCGGGCTTTTCAGCCAATCAGACGGGACCTAGTCCTGCCCCTGCTTCCGGCCACGGCTCCTCCCCTGCAGCAGCTGCTCCCCCCCCCATACACACAGAGGGGGTTCAGTGCCGTGTGGAGACACCGTTTTAAGTCAGTTTTGTCGGCTGACTCAAAGGACATTTCATGTTCGTGTAAGGAAATACCTGGTCCTTCACACTGTCATCATGATGGGATTCACAGAGCTGCTGCTGGACCCTAGATTTCACATCTGTCAGTTGTCATCAGCTTTGCCTTAGCTCTGCAAGTTATTATTTTAATGTGTGGTTAAAGTACAAAATACATTGTCCCCAAGCAGTCCTGTGGTACACATTAAAGGAATTAATTAGAGGGTGTCACAGGCCACTATTGTATGTAGTTTCTTTTGAGACCAAAAAAAGGCTGGGAAAAATAATCCATATTTCAACCTTTGCATTCTTGCTCAGAGTATGTGATTAGGGTGTATGAAATCTATGCATAACTTTCTGCTTTAAAATTTTGGTCTCTTATTGTTCCACAGAAGAAAGGACAACCTCCTGTCCCACACCAAATAGAAACCCTAAGGAAAATGAGTGAGCTACCTCTAGCAGTGGGTTTCCAGTACAGGGTTATAAGCTTCAAAATTTACTTTTCTACTTGCAGATCTTTTCTAGGTTTTATTTCAGATCTCTCTCTCTGACTGTTGGAGTATTTTTTTTAAATATTAATTTGTCAGGAAACTGCACCAAAACAAATCAACAGGTCTGACAACTTGCCATGTAATAGCACTAGCTTGGGGATGGCTTTCTGTGTAATCAGTAAAAGGAACAGAAAGTCTCCCCCCCTTCTGCTGCCTTTTCCCCCCTAATAAAAAGGAGATGGCATCAGTACTTCACAGTGTCAGCAAAGCTTTTTTACAGTTGCTGACCCTCCTTGGTAGAAAAGGAGCTGTAGCTGATAAAACTGTGTCACTTCATCCTCATTAGGATGTAACTCACTCTAAAATTCCATGTTATTAAACTGCCCAGTTTACACCAGTGGCCATATTTTAGTGGGTGTAGCAGGTAGTGTGGGGTAAATCCATCTTTAAATGCCTGGACTGATGTTACCTTTGTTACCAAGTCAGTGTGTAACTGACTTCTTCATGGTCAGAGAACTGTCTCTGACTGAGGTGAAACTGGAGTGAGGAGGATGTCCAGGGAGGAGCAGAGGAGGGAAACAAGGGTCTGGTTGTGGACCAAGTACTTGGAGTGGAGGATGGAGTGGCAGCAAGGGGATGTCAAACCAGTTCCCCTGTTTAGAAGTGATTTAGCTGAGATGTACAGGAAGAAGAAAGAAACGCAAGTGTAATCAAACCTTCTACCCCTGCCCCTCAATTTAGGATGTTTTAGGGAGTGCAATTTAGCTCTTAAAATTACAAAAATGTTGATCCATTAGAGAAACAAAAGTTCACAAACACCAGGAAAATTATTTATTTAATTTTTTTTTAGTAACCATTAATCAGTTTGAGGGGTTTTAAAACGCTGTTAACTTAAGTGATTAGCTGTGTTTAAGTAAGCTTTGATCATTTCTAAAGGTGCAGAAGTACAGGAACTTGTTTTATTTTAATACAGCATGGTACATGTTTGATAATAGTGTATTATAGTATTTATGAAGCTACAGAGGTGAAGTTGCATGAAAGAGTTTTTTGCAAAAGCTTCCAGTATGATAAGATACCTATTCCTAAGGAAAATCCATGAAAATATTATCTAACTTAACATTACTTGAATCCCACCAGGAAGCTTTCTGCATATTCAAAAATGTAAGAAATTCCATCAACTTGGTGTCATCTTGCTAATAAAACTCAGTAAAATTCCCTGGAGACTTTCTGGCATTAATTTAAGAGCCTCCCCGTTGTGAAGGATGGCTGGAGAGAGCACAGCTCAGGAGGGGGCCTGAGGTGATTGTGTGATGCACAGAAGGCAGAGGTACCCTGGTTCTGGGAGTGCTGCTTCCCAGATGCAGAAGGAAGCTTCATGCTGAACATTAAGCACCTGACAGGAGACTAGCAACACCTGATTAATACAAATTTTAAGCAGCTACAAAATGTTCATTTCAGTTTTAAAAAATATAGAGAGGAGTACAGGACAGAAACTAAATCAAGGGAAAATGTCTCTGTCAGCTTTGACTGGATGCTTAAGCACTTGAAGACTATTTCTGTTACCCATTTGTTGATACCAGAACTGAGGCCATACAATAAAGTAAAATGCTATTATTGTCATATTTTGTTCCTTTCTTAATATTCTAATGCTTATTTTACTTTAATGACCCTTTGTTGTTCCATATTTAGTATATGTCCACAGAGAAATAGCATAAATTATAAGGTACTACATAAGCTCATAGCTGTTTTGAGAACAGGCTTGTTAATTTCATCATTCTTTTCAAACTCTGTTTCTTGGATCAAGATTTTAGAAAACGTGTGCATGAGAACTGAGTTTGTCTTAAATACAGAATAATTATGGCAAAATTGCTTTCAGGTAGATTGTTTTGAGACTAAAGTAGTATGGCATGTTTGATATGATTGCAGAATACTGGATTTCTTGAATAACACTAAGTCAACTTAAATGTAGAGGTCAAAACAATTTTGAGTGGTCTCACAGGCTGTGACACCTCTTTGTTTTTTCTGCAGAAAAGCGTCTTTCCAGAGGCATTTCCCACGCCAGCTCAGCCATCGTCTCCCTTGCTCGGTCACATGTGGCAAATGAGTGCAGCAATGAGCAGTTCCCTTTGGAGATGCCCATCTACACATTCCAGCTACCAGACCTTAGTGTATATAGTGAAGATTTCAGAAGCTTCATTGAACGTGACTTAATTGAGCAGGCAACAATGGTTGCCTTGGAGCAAGCAGGTGAGTAGGTACTTCAGATGTCAGCACCTGGGCAGTTTTAGGTTGGCTTTTCTCATCCTGCTCCATCTCTGGAGCTCGTGCATCCTACCTAGGGAATACGTGCTGGAGAGTAAAAGAAGATACGGTGCTCTTTTCAAAATTGCACATGCCCTGATCCTCTATTTCTTTTCAAATATAATTAATAAAACAAAAAAAGGGAGGGAGGAAGGAAAAGCCGGAAGGACTGATGGGGAAGTCGTGCAAGGCAGAAGGACATGAGTCTGGATGATCAGAAGGGGTTGGTGCCTCCAGTTCTGGTAGGGAAATTACAGTGCAATGACTAATAAAGGAAACATCTTCAGGTTCTGTTGCAGCTTGAGAAAAGAGTTTTAAAATATGTTTTACATATTAATTATAATTTTGTAATAAGAAACTAAATATTTTTCAAGTAATATGTCATTATTGCCATGGAAAATAAGTGAAAAATTGTTAAATTACTTTTATTTCTGATTTATTAGTATTTTAATGTTGTAAGTCAGTTTTGAAAGATACAGAGAAATGTATTTTAACTGGGTAACTGTGCCTCATGAAATAGCAAGGGTATTAATGAACCATGAAATGAACACATCTATATAGTGAAATGCTCAACTCTGATGAGATAAAGGAGTTATAAAATCAGATTTCACGGTTGCCTGTGGAATATTTTTGTGTGTGGCTTGTGTAATGCTGTGTATTCATCTGAGAGTTAATTGTCAAAGCTCAGTGCATAGTCATACTGTGTGTGTTCAAACTGCTATTGATCAGGGCACTGCAGCATAGGATTTAGGCAGGATATCTGCTGATCTGTTGTCTCAGTGAATACTTATGCATTGTCATAGGCTCATTTTTTGGCTTTGGCATTTGAAAAGCAAGACATAGATAATGGCATCATACTTAAGAAAAAAACAACACATTAGAGCAACCAAAACAACCCTCACCCAACCAGGATTCAGAGGCCTGCTTCTGGAAAAACAGCAATATAAAATATTGCAGAAGTGCTTACAGGCATCTATGAAATATGAAAGCTGTCAGCCACCTAACAAGAAAATACATTTAGTTTCTCTAAGAACTAGGTAATACAACAAGAGGTGGGAAAAACAGGACGTCTTTTCCTCTGCCAAAGACTGCAAATTCCATGGGGCTACCAGAAAATACCTTCCTACAGTGTCATTGTTCACCTACCCGTTTCAGTGGAATTACAGCCTTTGAAGTTAGTTAATGCAAGAGCACAAACAAAAGGATCACAGTGGTTTTCTGACCTTAAAATCAGAGAATATGTGAATTTAGGGCTGACATCTTCTTCTAATCCATACTGAGCTGGCTTTGAACTGGAAACAGAGCTGCCGAAACTATGGATTTTTCTGCCACTCAGCATTCCTCTCTCAAATACCTCAAAAAATTAGAATAAATAATTTATTATTTTTTCACATTTATTTAATTTGGGCAATAATAACTTGGCTCACACTGGGAAAGTCCCTTCCTCCCCCGGGCCTCTTGCATCCCGGAAAGGAGGGTGTTTTCACCATTTGAGGTGTTTGTGGTTTTAATCACAGGTATTTTTGTAGCCTACAAAAACAGTTTACTTATCTGAGCATTTCATGCAAATAATCTGGAACTTCCTGGGAAACAGTTCTTTAGTTCAAAGAAATTAAACAGCTCAAATAGGGAATGCTTAAGAAAATAATGTAAGATTTGGCATTAAGTTTCTGTTTAAGACAAAGATACTTAGTTTCCTTTTATTTTTTGCCAATTTTACACATGATACCCGAAATGGAGAGTGTGAATTAATAGTAAAGTCACTTAGCATTAGACATTTTAATGTCTTCTACCAACAGAGGGCCCAGTTTGACTGTGGTTTGGTCAATGACATTAAAAAATTAACAGATAAGGTGCATTCCCTGCAAAGAGACTAAAATCTGTTTCATAACAAAACAAACCCCACAAAGGACAGTAGCTTCTGTAGCTGGGGTTGGGGATGTTGCTAAAGGAAGAGAGAGGTGTGTGCTTGCATTCATGGGCCTGAATTTGAAGAGAAAGGATTAAAAAAAGAAAAACTGATTAGGCAGAAGGAGGAGGAACTTTGTCAGGAACATAGAGCAACTTGCTGCTCACAAAGCATTGATTGAGAGAGCAAAAATACTATTAACAGACTGTGGCATGAGGTGTCTGAAGTGGCCCTATGATCTGGATGTCTATGAAAGTCTCAAAGGTTTTTGTATTCTCTCTGTACATGCTTAGGCACTTGCTGCCATGACATCCGTATGTGAAAGGATGTCCAGGTTAGATCCTACCTGTACTGAAACTCAGAGCAAAATTCCTGATTTACTCAGAAATACTTTGTGAGTTTATAAAGAAAAGGCCCAGATAAAGGCAGGATGATTTACTCTCTGCTGCTGCAGGCTGTCCTCTACTCCTTGTGTGATTGCTTTCTGCATATTTCTTTTAGAGGACAGAATTCACCACAATCATCTTATGAACAGCTGTTGATGATGGCCTGAATTGGAATGAGGTCAACTTGTAAGTAACATGCAGACTGATCTCTGAGCACCCTTGCAGGAATCAGTCTGGTCCTTTGACAGAGGATGGCTCAGAGAGTGGTAATATTAAATGAGGCCTGTGTGAAAGGAATTTTATAATTCTAAATATTTTGAGGCAGCAAGTTAACTTTCAATATATGGACTTGTTCCCCTGTGTCACTAATGTGTAGGCTGACACAGGGAGAGAGATTAGGAAAACTACTTCTGCTGTACTGATGACTTGAAGAAGAACCATAGTATGGGCAGAAGGAAGGCTAGTCTAACACAGGATTTTAATAAAAAGAGAAAAAATATTTCAGTTGCAGTGCTAAAATATAATTCAATACAAAAAATAAAAGTAAACTCTATGATCCTTCAAGGATACTGTTTTCCTACACTTTTCTTTCTGTGCTCAGGTTTGAGAATTTAAATAGTTATGGGCAAAATCAGCAGTAATATTGTTGAGTTCAGGTTTCACATCCCCAAAATCAAGTCCACCAAAATTCTGGAAATGTTTCATTTCGAACTGTTTCTTTGTTAAAGACAAATTGATGCCTTCTCAGGTTTTAGAAACATTTTCTTATCCCAGAATTTTAAACAGATTTGCACATGGCACATGCAGGGTGCTGGGATAGGAACCATTACAATTACAACAGTACTGTATTATGTGATTTCCTGGCTTTGAACTGCATGCTTGCGTGATTCAGTTCTGGTATGATGACAAATATTGTGTCACAGAGTAGGATAAAATGCAATAATGTCATAGGAAACAGTCTGTCTTGGGTTATGAAAGAAACAAATGAAGAAAACAGGTAATACTAGGTCTGCAGTTATCTGCATCAGTTATCTCCAGCCAGTTATATCTAGTCATGTGTTTCTGTGCCATCTTATTTTATCATCTGTGATTTGCATTCTGGTCAGTATCCTCTGTGACAGTCTGTGTTGCTAATGCATCAGGCTAAAAGAGAGGCATTTATTTGATTGCTCAGTTTTACTTATTTGTACATGCACAGCTCAATGTTGCATTTCAAGGACATCAGTAAATATGAACGGCCTTGCAAATGCTACTGTGAAGCTGATTCCATCATCTAATGAGAACTCCTACAAGAAGGTCCTTTCTTTCAAGTTCAGAAACTGTATTGGGAAGTGCCTTATATATTCACTTATTCTAAAGAATGAGCAGTCACTGATTAATACAAGCCCATTAGAAAATCTGTTCTTGTAGTTTTCTTCATGTCAATACTTGCAAGTACACATTTATTCTATGAAAAGACTGAAACTAAAAATAAGCAAAACAAATCCTCTTAGTCATGTAAGAAACACATAAAGCATAGAAGCAGCTCTGCTGCAATCTGGATTTGAGGTTCCTGCACCCATGGCAAATTGTATGTATGACTGTTCTGAGTGGGCTGAGTTGACTTTGCCAGGCAGTGCTGTGCACACCCCAGAGCAGTTCTTGATGTTGGATTCCAGAGGGGAGCTGGTGAGTGTTTAGGGGAAACCACTGCTTTTGAGAACGTACGGGGTGTCCAGACTTCAGCTCCCATTGCTTTGGGAGTTGAAAATGTTCTTCTGCAACTTGCTGGTCATGGAGGATGGATAAGTAAGATACACTGGAGAAAGGAAAGCCTGGATTTAGCCTAGTTTCTTAAGGAAACTGAGCTTGTGCCACTGTTTATTTTTTAGAGAACTGCCAGTTTCCAGTTGATGAGGCATCAGGGGCCGATACTGAAAGTCAAGCCAGACCCCTGTTAATACTTGAAATGGGTTCTTCTGCCTTCTTTTTGAGCCACTTAGGTCATGTAACTATCTGGAATCCTGTTTACCGACTTCTCATAAATCCTGTGGCAAGATACAGTATTCCTGTGGCTTGCAATACAATATAGAGGCTTATGAAAAGAACAGGTAAAACTTTCTAGTGTCTGTTAGTACTACTCCAACTTTATTAATATTGTGGAGCAAAGCCCATGCTTTAAAATATTTCTTATTACTTGTCCTCAGATGCTGAATTCTTGCCCTAACAGTCACATAAGACCAGCTTCTCTTCACACCTACAGTTGTGGTCTGCACTAGGATAGGTCTTGATTTTGCATCTTGTCCTGGGAGTCACCAGATACCAGATTTTAAGACGGTGTTATTGTCTGTTTTCTAGAGTTTGCAGAACTTTCTCTGAGATCCAGGTCACCTTCCTTGCATGGAAAGCAATCTGGTTCTGTATCAGAATGTCTGTCTGTTTCCTGTTGGGCCCTGCAAATGGGAGAGCAGGGAGAGCCAACATGTGCTTCCTGTTGTGTGAAGTCCATTACATACTATGTAGCACAGGACTAGGATAGTCTTAGAATACACAAAGAGTTGGCAACCTTCAGCCATGGGGGATACTAGATTCTGTTAAGCTTTCTTCTGGGTTTGCATTTTAAGACTTGAGTGTCATGGCAAGATTGTATGTTTGTGTCTGCCTCTTGGGTTGTATATTGCCCGATCGTAGACCTGGATAGGAATTCTAATCTTGATCTAAATTTAAGATCAAATTGTAATGTACTAGAATATAGCTGTATTAATTCTCAGAGTATTTTTGCTGCAAAACTAGTGATAATTTTCTTGAAATTGTCAGGTTTTTTATAGACTAAATAGATTGCTGAGAATGTAAGAAGCAAGATCAAATAGGAGACCCAACAGAAGGAGAGTGAGAAATTAGTCTAATGTGTCCATAGATATTGTTATATAAAGCAGACAGAAATAATGCTGGCACAGAACATTTTCCAGTTTTCCCTTAAGCTCCACTTTCCTGTTTTTTCCCTAAAGGTATTCACTATAAACACTAGATATGAAAAATGAGAATATGCCACTTTTTGGTTATAATTCATGATAGTCCTGCTCATTTTTTAGTCAGCCATAAGTTTTGTCATGTTAATGAAGCCCTCAAACGTGTTTTTTTCAGTAATTTATTAAAAGCAGATGACTCTTATAGAAGCCTCCTGTTATTCAAAATACTTGTGAACACCAAACTTGGACATTTATTACGAAGAGCTGGTAGTTAATCTGCAAAGAAATACCACACATTACCCCCATAAGGCCTAAGGTCTGTCTGGTATAGGTCTTGTAACTGTGCTTTAGGCAGCACCTTGGTAATACCACCAAAACATTCTGCAAAAAACAGGTGGCAAGTTGTTGTTTCACAGCCCACAGACACAGGAGTTGCTAAAAATGACAACTTGTTATTTCAGATCTTTTCCAAAGGCTGTCCCATAGTACTTTAAGCTTCAATGCATACTGAATTTGGAATTCAATCAGCCTAGTCTGAGATGTTGGACATTAAAAAACTACCTGCGAAAATCATATGAGGCTTACCAGATGTGCTTAGTTATGGATCTGTTTTGCATCTTTACAGTATAGCAACTCTCAACCCTTACTAACTAATTGATATTTAATTACACAGTTCTTAGTACTCAGAATAAGTAATTAAGGGCATCTGTTAAAATGTTATTGTACCAGTTTTTGCACAATATGTATTAGCTGCCATTACAAATAAGTTTCAATACAATCTAATAATGAAAACAAAATAATGAGAAACATTTTTTCATTACTTGAACTTATTTCTATTTTGGGACATTTAACTTTAAATGCAAGACTGATTAATATTTTCTCTGAGCTTTCAAGTAAAGGAATTGGGAGAGAAAAAGTCTGCAACATAGGACAGACATAAAAACAAAGTAACCTAGGCTGCCTATTGCATAATTCATTCAATTATTCAATTGTACATTACCCACAGACTGCCCAAAGTCTGGACAATATACTGTATAATATACAATACACAATATACTCTGTCTTGAAAAATATACCAGTTCTACTCATCGTTGTTAAACATCTTCTCTTCCTTATCACCAAAGACGTTACAGGATCATTCACATTTGTGCTCTTTATATTAGAAATGTTCCCATTGGTATTTAATCAAGACCTGACACCCCAGTCAGCTACCACATGGTAGCCTGTGTGCCAGGAATTACGTACTCGCATTGTTGGTTTTGGCACCAATACTCTTCATGGCTTTATTTGCTTCATGTAGATACATCTGTCCTCCTGTTAGTGCTTTTAATAATCCATTTCTGATTTATAATATTAAACCATGCTTCATGTAGCAATGAGGGCTAAGTGGCTCCCTACATGTTCTCAAAGAAGAAAGCTCCAGGCTTGCCTGCACCTTGGGCTGTGTATTCTCATTTTAATTCTCTGGTAGTGTAGCTGTTGATTTTGATTAATAAATACATATTACTTTTGCTTTTGAGATTTTATTACTGTAACATAATCTGTCTTCTGTGTATGGGAGGCCAATGTCAGTTATGGTTGGGAACTGATACCAAGATTCAGACTAGTATTTAGGTAATGAACTCCTTGGGAATCCACCCCCAAATGCAGCACAGGAGAATGGAAGATGCAAATTAATTAAAAGCTGTTCCTTTTTCCAATATACGCTTGGAGAATAGTTAAAGTTTATTTGCCTCTTATTTCGAATCTTTTTAGCTTTCACTTTTATTTGGCAGAATGGACTGTCATGATTACCCTTCAGCATGACATATCCTCTCCATTATACCTGTTCACAGCACACATTTAGTGCCCACTCCACCAGGTTAATATGTGCTTCTTTTTCAGGACGATTAAATTGGTGGTCCACGGTGTGTACGAGTTGCAAACGTCTGCTTCCCTTGGCTACAACAGGGGATGGAAACTGTCTCTTGCATGCTGCATCTTTAGGTAAGGGAGCGTCTGCACATGAAACCTGCCAAAAATTATTACCACTTTTCTTCCCAAGAAAAGCTCAGAAACACATGGGATACACAGCCTGATTCTGGAGCAATATATTCCTCAAATTTCACTAAGTATTATTTACTTGAGGCATGCTTGAGGGGTGAAGGTAAAAGCTTTATCAGGTTAGAAGAGTATAATAGAAACAATATCAAAAACCATATTTAATATAAATCAGTGATTTGCATTTTCCTTACAGAGCCCAACCACACACCTCTGGATCAAGCAAACACCAGGTGCTGCAGGATTGTCCTGTCCTCATTGTGGGCAGGGACTTGCCTTCATTTGTTAAACAGTTCTCTTGCTGTCTTCAATATGCAATATTTAGCTGTTGTCACTGTTGGTTCCTTGTAGAGTTTTAAGTATGTGGGAAACGGAGCTTGGGATGGATTAAAATAATTTCCAATTTATTAATTTTTAATATAAGATCTTTGAAGCTATTCTTAAAATCAATAGAAACATATGTGGTGCCTTCTATATCCTCAGCTATTATGAGGAAAAAAACATATTTTTGTTGCAGTTGCTAAAATATTTCATCAGTGGAACTAAAAAAGGTGCGTTTTTAAAAAACAGTTTTTTTCAATATTTTGAAGAGGCTTTTTTTTTATTAAATAAGTATTAGGAAAAGAACTTCTGCTGTTTCCAAGGATCCTTTCATCTTTGTCCATTTCATTTTTATTTAGGAGGAATTGTGTATTTTTTACAGCAAATGTTTGGGGTATTTTTGACTTGCAATGTCTTAAGTAAACGTATTTAATGCCAGCAGCTGACAATATGGTAATTGAAATGTGGTGGTCTGTGGGCATGTCTTGGTGAGAGCTCTGCTCTCATTCACTGTAGGTTACTGTTCTCAGCTACATGAAGACATGTTATTATCTCTTAATGAGCTAGAAAGCCTATGGCTGGTTCTATTTTTAGACTTCTAATCATCTTGAATGCTTGCTCCCTTTGGCTGTTGAAGCCCAAGGGAATTTCCCATTATGCTGTGTGTAGATGGATGCTATTGGGTGTTGGTATTGTTAGGGGTTCACAGAGGGGCCTGCAGTTGTCACCAGCATTCTTGTGCCTCCAAGGTCTGTTGGCAACTGCAGATATAATCAACCTGTGCGCTGAATATCCCATTTCTTGCAGCCAAGTGAAGTTGCCTGCAAGCAAACACTGAAACAACTAAAATCCCTGGTCATTCCTTAATTGGAGATTAAATTTTGTTACAGTTCCCTCTTGTTGTTCATTAGCTTATCTAGATTGACTGTTGCTTGGAAATAATAAGTGAATTATTTGCCAAGGAGAATCTTAACTAATGTGTGAGCTACGCTTCTTTTGCTAATAGAGTAATATTAATTGTCTTAGTACTTACTGCTTGTTTCACTGTAGCTGCTTTAAAACTGCATGTCAACTTGTGCTACTTTAGGGATGTGGGGATTTCATGACCGGGACCTGGTTTTACGTAAAGCTCTCTATACCATGATGAGAAGTGGAGCTGAAAGGGAAGCACTGAAAAGAAGATGGAGATGGCAACAGACCCAGCAGAATAAGGAGGTCTGTATGGCCTGAAGACAGTCTTGTTAATATAATTTAGGATCAAAAGTTTTCTTCTGAAGTTTGCTGTGAAAGTTTTCTTTGCTATTGAATTCCTTGTGCTTCTGTTTTGTTTGGGGAAAGAGATACTTGTATTTAGAATTTTTGTATCAGAATGCAGATGTGTTTGTAGCTTTGTGGGCATAAATACACAGTTTTGTGCCTTCAAAGGTCTAAGATGAGTTTGGAACCTGTAGGAAATCTTGGCTGCAAAAATTCCATGTCTCATTTAGCTATCACAAGCATTATAAAATTAGTGGATGAAATCCACAACAGAAAGATTGTCCAGAATGGTGAATTAGGATTCTTAAAGGTGTGACCGAATACTGAGTGGATGTTTCTTAACTAAAATAATCTGTAGGTTTGCTTTGACCACTGATTAAAAGCTGTACTTCAGCATATATTATTATCTGAAGATGTCTGTGCCTAAACGGTGGCTATAAAAGCCTATTTCAGAAGTGATCCTGAAAGCAAGCAAGTGAATATGCTCACATGCTTGGGACTTACTGTAGTCTGCTTTTTGTTGGCACCAGTGAGTGAGTGTACAGCTTAGCTGTGACTGACTCAGCTACATCAGGCTACCTGAAAACAAAAGGCACAGAAGCACTTACCCTTTCAGCTTTTACAAAGAGGAGGAAAGCATCAGCTGTCCATTGAGGAGGGCATTCATAGTAGTTCCATATATTGAGGAAGAAAGCAAACCTCCAGAACCGGGCAGGAAAGCATGCTAACCATGGTTGCAAGGAATTCGGTTGGGTACGAGTAACTGAATCTCCAGGAGGGGAGCAGTGTGCTAGCAGCAGACCCACCTCTGGAAATCTCAACCAGTGCAGTTAGGGGTTCAGATGTTTTCTAGTAAGTTAATATTCTTTCACCTGAATAGAAATACTGAACCACTCATGGTCCTACATACTAAACCCCATCATGTATGAAGTTCAAAATAAGTTAGTATGTAAATATTACTACAGAACTCCACTTACATTTTGTACTAGCATAACGGTAAAGGTATTTCATTCTCTCCCATAGTCAGGTTTAGTGTACACAGAAGAAGAATGGGAACGGGAGTGGAACGAACTGCTTAAGCTGGCATCAAGTGAGCCTCGTACACATTTCAGCAAGAATGGAGGCACTGGTGGTGGGTAAGTGTTACCTTTTGTTCTCAATAGGAAAACAATACGGTGCAGATGAACCAAGTTGTTTATAGGACCATCAAACTGCCTTTTCAACTGGCTGTGATTTTTTGGCATGGTAGACTTATCCCATTGTAATGTTAAGCATTTTGGTTAAGTTTCTTTGTACAGTTACTACACTAACTTGAGGTTACTTTGCATCCAGAAGTGTCTGGATTTAATAAATCCATAAATCCTAATTTATTAATTTCTGGAACAAGCATGTTGGCAGTAGCATTTAGCTTCAAGTGTCTTGTCTCACTGAAGATATGTAGCTTCTGTTTGAGGAAGACTTGGCAGGAAGATTGCCACTGCTCAGGTATTTTCAGTAAAAGATGGAATGGTAGAATAACATCACATTTTCCAATATCATTCTAGGAGAAAGCAGGTTGTGTCTGGATATCACCTTTTCTGTGCTTCAGCACAGCTTCAATGCCATCTTCTCATATTCATACATTTATTTAATTCCTTTTTTTGCTTTATAGTTCAAAGATAAAATCTTCAGAGAGATCTCTTGAGGTCAAGTCACACAGATACTCTTCAAATTTTCTACTCCTAAACTGCAGTTAATCCTAAACATACAGGAGGAAGTAATCGATATTTTTGGTATTAAACCTAAAGATTAACATTTGGATGCAGTGTCTTTTTAAACAGAAGCTGAGTATCAAGTTATACTTTGAACCCTTCTGAGAAAGGGTTCAAATGCTACATCAATCTTTGAACAGTTATAAAAAACTTTAAAAAATTAATATTGCACTGATAGGGAGAGTTGCCCTTTCTTTGATTCTCCAAGCTTTTATTATGCCCATGTAACATAGATTGTGCTCTCAAATGCAAGAATTCTTTTGTAGGGGTCTTTATTTCAAATTAAACTGATTCACTGTGATCCTAGTAAAGTTTGATGTGGCTGGAAGGTTTGGATAGGGTTGGTTTGCATTCTCAAGAACCCCATCAGATTCTTTTTTTGTCTAATTTAATATCTTTTATCTAGATTGATTCCACAAGAGGCAGGCTGCTTGCAGCTACTTTGATCTCACTCTGTGTAGTTGCAGCATTTGCCTGTTCCTACCCACTGCTAACAAGGAAAGTGTGTTTGCTTGAAGACCAGTTTTGTACGCATGTTTAATCTTTGTATGATCTCAGTAGCATCTTAGCTTATTACAAACTTAATTATAAAATTAGCTTATTATAAACACTACCAGAAAATGTGATGGTTGCAGGGAAAACCCAGTACTGTCTACAGCCAACATGCATTTAGTTTACATGTTCAGAAGCTATTTGAAAAAATGAACAGATACGTATTTGTGAAAAAGGTTGGGGTGTAATAGTATCTACAGCATTTAAATGTGATGCACATTCAGAATCTGCTTTAAATAACTCGTGTGATAAACCATCCCTTGATTTCAGTGCAGTTGTTTCCAGAGTACAGGATTGTTGATCAGCCTTAAGAATGCAGAAACTTCAGGTTTTGTGTCTAGTGTTTATCATTTAAAGTATTTTGTGTTTGTTTACTCAGTGCATCTTTTTCTCTGACTACAGTTTCCCCTGGAGAAAATTGCATGTGGTGAAAAGTAAATAGATGAATTAGGGCACACAACAAAATGACAGTGATAAAATCTTTAGAGTGTATTCTCTGGGCTTTGGAAGAATATGGTGTTTTAACTGTGTGATGTCAAGGACAGGTAATTCTACTGATGTGGGAGAATGTTTAGAAAATTGCCAGCCATAATACGTCTTGTTTTCTTCTATTTTGAGGCTAAAAAAACAGATTGGTTTTCATTTTACTCTCTAGTTTGTTTCCTATGTTGTAGATATTTTCCTGCATTTCCTGTATTGATACAATTTAGTCTTCTAATGAGGTTCACTTCACATTTCTATTAAATTTGGCCATTCACCACCATTCTTTGGCCTTTTCTGTCTCTTTCATGTACTATGTTGTTTCAGTATCTACCAGTTAGAGATGTCCTCAAATTTTGCCTTTGCAAGTAAATCAACTGTCTTCACCTTTAATTCCCAGGTACTTAAACAGGGAGTATCACTGTTACATAAAGAATTAACTGGAATTTGTTTTGATGTTCTCATCATGGTTTGCATTTATCTTATTGAAAACCAAAGTAAGGATAAATAGACAACTGCTCATTTTTCCTTTAAACTAGTAAAAGAGGAATCAGGCCAGAAGCCTAGCCTATTTCTCTTTACAGTCATTCAAAGACAAAATGAATGTGACAGAATGAATTATTTTCTCAACTTAATGTACCAAAGTTCAAAATAAAGCCCTTGAGAAGGGAAAGGAACATCAAAATAGTATTTTTGAGATGGGGTATATTACATTCTTAATACAGTACCTGACTGGAGAAAGCTTGCAAATGAGTCTTTGAATTGTAGATGAGACATTCTCCTTTGGTGTCAGAATTAGCTGAAGCATCAGAAGTTGTATCAGCTTCAAAAGAATTCAGTGACAAGCCTAAGTCTGGAATTGTGCTGCCTCATTCATCTGCAAGTTCCTTTTAGTTATTTTTCAGAGTGAGCTACATGTAAAGGAGATCAGCAATTGTCACTAAATCTCCAAAGATTTCTTCTCTTGTTCTGATGCTTGGAAGCTGGAAAAAGATGATGGGAGCACAGACAAACCTGACTCTTTAAGTTCTCATTTCCAACACATAGAGCCCTTCAAGCACTAAAGCAGAGCAAACAAATTAACTGTGAAGCAGATTCTTGTTTTTAAATAGATTTACACATCTTTCTCTAAATTTTTCTCTAAAGAAATTCAGATTAACATAATTGTTTCGTTTATCTCCCTTTACAAGCAAAACCAGTTGTACTGAATTGAAGCAACTGCTTTCAAAAAAGGCAAGAGTCTTGAATCCTCAGGTTTTTTTAAGGACCTAACTATTGCAATCCTGCTAGAGAGAAAATTCCAAACCATTCCTTTATTTTGTGGATTATTGTCAGAGATTTCAAAGCCTGCTCTATTGCTAGATTTAATATCACTGTTATTTACTTCTTGAAAATCTTGTGAAACTGAAAGCTAGATGTTGTGATGTGAGCTAATATAGATTTTGAAAGTGGATGACACTCTTACTTACCATTAACTCTCCCCTTCTAGCTAGTTGTCTTCTATGCTGTTGACACTCTCTTATTAATAAAGTGATTTTAAATGGGGAAGAAGGGAGGGAATATTGCTGTCATCTTCCTGTGCTGTCATTAGTTTTATTTAAGGCAGAAAACCAGAGTATTTAAACAGGAATCGCCTCTCAAAAACGTGTAATGTCTGAGGTTTCAGACTTTGTTGTATGTTCCTAGTATTTCAACATGCAATCCTTAATGTGTTCATCAAGACCCTCATCTTGTAAATAATTCCATTCCTGTTTAATTGTTCAGTGTATGCAGCAGTTACAGGGTACAATAGAAAAAGGTTCACTGTAACAGTAAATCTATTCCTTAGTAGCTAAAATTTGTGATTGCTAATAAATCTTTTAATGTGGCCTGTTTTCATTTGATGTAAATAATTCTTAAGCCAGACACAGCCTGGACATAAACACATTGGTGTGGTAATTGGAACATGGTAGTTCAGACACCCCTTGGGATCTGAAAGCAGTGGGTATCCCATAGACCCTAGAAAAGAACATGAAAGGCACCTGAGGAACCAGAATTGTCATACTAAAATTAAGTACTAGTATCTGTGTAGTTACTGGGTTTTTCCTTATTTAACAAGTTTTTTGTTGAATTCAAGATACTTGCCATTTGACAGATGGTTGCATTTCAGATGCCACAGAAGAGGTTTTACAGACAAGCGTGTGTTCCCACGCTATTAAATGCAGAATAACAGACAAGCCAAGATTATCTGGGTAAAGTTGATTTAGGTTTTCTCTTTTATTATATGCCTTGCAAACTGCTTCCTACATATTGATTTTACCTGAGAAAAAAAAGTATTTATATTTTTAAAGATTAAGAAATAAAAATTGGAGCTCAAAGCATTAACATTCTGTATCTCCTTTAGTCAATGCAGTATAATTTTTCCCCCCCTTGAAGAAGGGAGATGTCCCACTAATATGTGGGGTGTTTTTGAGTTGAAGCACCTTGCTGAAATACTGTGTAAGGAAATCACAGGTAGGTTCCTGCAACTACCTTTAGTAGGAATTTGTACGTGCTAGTAAGCTGTGGCTGTGGTGTATGTTGGTTTCAATTTTGGGATTTTTAAGCAAGGAAAGAAGGGGTTTCAGAAATTGGATGGTGGCAGATCAGGATATGAACTGAGATTTCATTCTGCTCTCATGCTTGTACCTTATCACCAGGTTGAAGAACTCAATACTTGTCATGTTGGTTCAGTCCCCCTCAACTGTCCACAGACAGTGGCCTCTTGTTCTGCGTGAATCCTGAAACTCCATCAAAAAATGGAAATAGCTGTTAGGAGTCTGTTGGACAAACTGAGGATCTGGAGCGCATGTGTATGGGAAAGAAAAGCATTTTTCTGAAATTCCTGTCGCAACCAGTTGTCTCCACTAATAGGCATCTTGTTACTCAGTTTTCCATTGTCTTCTGCCATTGCTTGTGCCTTTCAGACATCAGGTTATGAATACAACAGAAACTGCCCAAACCATCCCAGGTAGGACTGGGATAGCTGAGTCTCTTTTTTTAAAAAAAAAAACAAACATTGTGTGTACTTGTCTTTGTCAAATTCTTTCAGTAGGTAATTTATTTATTTTGGTCAGTATTGAAATTTAGGATTAATTATAGTTTTGCCACAAACCACCATGCTGGCAGCATATTAACACTTCATCCTTTTTTTTTTTTTTTGTAGAACTAGATGTTGAAAAGTGTTTTCACCAAGTAAGGATAATAATTGTTTATGTTTATGGTGGATCAGGAACTGGTTGAAAGGAAGGAGTCAGAGAGTTGTAGTCAATGGGGCAGAATTTGGTTGGAGGTGTGTGACTAGTGGAGTCCCTCAGGGGTCGGTACTGGGACCGGTGTTGTTCAACATCTTCATCAACGACCTGGATGAGGGTATAGAATGTACCCTCAGCAAGTTTGCTGATGACACTAAGCTGGGAGGAGTGGCTGACACACCAGAAGGCTGTGCTGCCATTCAGAGAGACTTAGACAGGTTGGAGAATTGGGCGGGGAGAAACATGATGAAATTCAACAAGGGGAAGTGCAGAGTTTTACATTTGGGGAAGAACAACACCATGTCCCAGTACAGGTTGGGGGCTGAACTGCTGGAGAGTAGTGTAGGTGAAAGAGACCTGGGGGTCCTGGTAGACAGGAGGATGACCATGAGCCAGCAATGTGCCCTTGTGGCCAAGAAGGCCAATGGCATCCTGGGGTGCATTAGAAAGGGTGTGGTTAGTAGGTCAAGAGAGGTTCTCCTCCCCCTCTATTCTGCATTGGTGAGGCCACATCTGGAGTATTGTGTCCAGTTCTGGGCCCCTCAGTTCAAGAAGGACAGGGAAGTGCTTGAAGGAGTCCAGTGCAGAGCTACGAAGATGATTAAGGGAGTGGAACATCTCCCTTATGAGGAAAGGCTGAGGGAGCTGGGTCTCTTTAGCTTGGAGAAAAGGAGACTGAGGGGTGACCTCATCAATGTTTACAAATATGTAAGGGGTGAGTGTCAGGGGGACGGAGTTAGGCTTTTCTCAGTGATGACCAGTGATAGGACAAGGGGTAATGGGTGTAAATTGGAGCATAGGAGGTTCAAGGTGAATATCCGAAAAAATTTTTTTACTGTAAGAGTGACAGAGCACTGGAACAGACTGCCCAGGGAGGTTGTGGAGTCTCCCTCACTGGAGACATTCAAAACCCACCTGGATGAGTTCCTGTGTGATGTACTCTAGGTGACCCTGCTCTGGCAGGGGGGTTGGACTAGATGATCTCTCGAGGTCCCTTCCAGCCCCTAAGATTCTATGATTCTATGATTCTATGATTCTATAAGTTATACATTTGGTCTAATGTTGGAAACAAAGACCAAGGCATGTTGCTATCAGTGGACTGATAGATTTGGAAGAGAAACAGAGAAGGTAATCTGGGGGAACACTGGAGGTGAAAACTTTTTGTAGATGGCAACATTTATCTGTCACCATTAACTGACTTCTGTTCAGGAGAGTGACTTAGTATCTACTTTTTTGCTTTATGGGTGATTTATCTGTATCTAATGTTCAAGAGGCTGTAGATGAGCCCAGCAGTATAAACTTAAAAGTTATAAGTCATACTAGTTTTCTACTTTGACTTCTGATTTTGAGATGTGAATCTTACAAGTTAAGAAGTATCAATTATGAGGAAAGAGGGATTTAAGCTAGGCCAACAGTTAATGGACTGGGGATTAAGTGTGGGTTTATTAAGGATTACTAGAACTATGAAGTTCGTAGAGTCCTTATTGAGCAATCATCTTTGGTTTTCTGCTTTCTGAAATGTTTCGGTAATATTTGGTGTAGATGCTATCTGGTTTCAGTGAGCTATGGTAACCTAGATTTTTCTTTTCTACAGGTTGTACCTTACAATACCTTGAATTAGTGTAGTAAATATGCTTATTTGGCAAAAGATATCATATATACGACACTTCTGTCTAATATATAAGTCCTTTTTAAACGCTAACATTTGTTTTGCTCTGTGCCTTAACATCATTCTAGCACTAATAATACTTTTATTCATGTTACATCTCTTTTTAGCTGGTATGTTTCCTATAATGGATGTCAGGCTTCTAATCTGCAACCCTAGGATCTCCTTGGAGTTCTGTAAAATCATTTGCCATGGACTATGAAACCTCATTGGCTAATTCCTTTAGTACTCTCTGATGGATTTAATCTGGCCTTGCTGATTCAAAACATTAATTCAGGTGCATTAGAAAGGGTGTGGTTAGTAGGTCAAGAGAGGTTCTCCTCCCCCTCTATTCTGCATTGGTGAGGCCACATCTGGAGTATTGTGTCCAGTTCTGGGCCCCTCAGTTCAAGAAGGACAGGGAAGTGCTTGAAGGAGTCCAGTGCAGAGCTACAAAGATGATTAAGGGAGTGGAACATCTCCCTTATGAGGAAAGGCTGAGGGAGCTGGGTCTCTTTAGCTTGGAGAAAAGGAGACTGAGGGGTGACCTCATCAATGTTTACAAATATGTAAGGGGTGAGTGTCAGGGAGATGGAGTTAGGCTTTTCTCAGTGAATACCAGTGATAGGACAAGGGGTAATGGGTGCAAATCAGAGCATAGGGGGGGTTGGACTAGATGATCTTTCGAGGTCCCTTCCAACCCCTATGATTCTATGATGATTCTATGATGATTTTTCTCTAAAGATGTGTGTTCCTTAATGTTACCAACAATTCAAAACAAAGAAACAACTCTTCAGAGTGCAGAAGACGTTTCAAGTGCTCACATTGTCTTCCAATTATATTTTACATCCAATTTTAATTTTTTTTTTATAAATTCCTTCCTAAGAACAGAACTTTTGTCTTTGTCTTAAATTACTTGCTCATTGTGAAGCTCATTGAGGATTAACTCTGTTTAGACCTATGGAATACTCCTCAATAAAACATTTATTTTACTCTAAAAATGTAGTATTATCTCTCAGCTTTTTCACATGCTCTGTATCTGCTCCAGCTAAATGAAGAGAATGGAAATACTTTCATTAACTCATGTGTTAATTAGATCAGACTTGAAGAAAGGCAATGTAAAGGAAAGACTTGGGGTTCTCTGGAGTGCTGTCTTGCATTTTGTGTTCTGTTCTCCTACCAGAAAAGATACTTGCATTAATTCTTTCTGTGGGTTTTCTGAAACACAAAGCTCCACTGGCAAAAGTGCTTGGCCTTGTATCCTCAGGCTACCTCTTGATCTATAGTCCTTCTGAATTCTGTAAAGAGAATTTTCATCTTATCTCTGGACAAATGGTGAAGAGGAAAGGGATGATCCTACTTCCAGATGTCTCTGTTTTGTTGTCTGTAGAGGCAGTCAAGGCGAAATGCTTTTGATTTTAGATGTCTGAAGTAGGTGAAATTAGTCTCATTGGAGAATCTAATAGGAAAATAGATCTCCAGGTCCTTACACAGGTACCCCTCCCCATATTAAAAAAAAATGTTTGGTAACAATCGCAGGAGAAAAAGTTGACAGCTCTGTAAGTTAAATTCCATCAACTCAGGCTGACATTCATGTTTCTTACATTCCTTGAGTAAACTCACTTGTATTTTGTTCAGAGGAACTAGAAAAACACCTTTAATTGTAGAGTCAGTGTGCTAAGGGGCACATGAAATAATGATTTTTGAGACAAAAGCACATTTACACCAGGAGCTTGGCTAAGAATTACCTCTCATGTTCCCATTAAGCTGCCAAACAGTATGAAATAGTAACAAATTTTGCTGACTGCTAAACTAGGGTGGAATCTGAAAGTGAAAGCATTTTCTCTGTTGCTACTATTTTATTTCATTAAAAATCTATTCTCTTTTCCAATTTCTTACGTTACCTATTTCCATAATTGAAATATGTGTTTCAAGAGAGTGGGAATATGAGTGACAAGGAGGAAGAAGTAGCTGCTGCAGTATGTTTGTTCACTACAGTTTCAGTGGTTGGTTCCAGTTGGTTCAGAAAGTTCCAATGTTGTGTCTTTCAGAGTTGATAATTCAGAAGATCCAGTGTATGAGAGTCTGGAGGAGTTTCATGTCTTTGTCTTAGCACATATTTTGAGAAGACCTATTGTTGTAGTAGCAGACACCATGTTACGAGACTCAGGGGGAGAAGGTAAGAAATGGATGGGCCTGAGTAAACTGAATGGTGAACTATCACTAACAAAAGACCCAGGGTAACATACCATAGTGTTTCTGGGATAGCTGCTGCCTTTTTCTGGGGGAAAAAAAAGAAGCAAAATGATAGTCTGTCCAATGCTATTAGATCAAAGTACAAAAGTACAGGATAATTATGTAACTCTCACTTAAAATCTGTTTATCATAGATATTTACTGTTAACTTAATAACCACCCGATTACAAAACACAATCCATCTCTCATTGGTCTAGGTTAACAAGGTTCTAATTTTGCTATGTTATATGCTTAAAACTGCATCAGTCAATCTAATCTGACTTTGAAAAATTGAATTTGGAGTGTGTATGTCTTGACTTTGTTTTTAGTAACTCCTTTGCAGCCTCTCATTCAAAAGTTTCCAGAATGTTTTATTCAATTTACATATGTGAGCACACAAATGATAGATCCATCTCTGTAGCCAGCTGTCTGAGTAGGACTTGGATGATTAAATCAATCTCTCACTTCCTACCAGGCACTAATAGAATACTGATTCATGCTAGTATGTTGCTTAAGTAAAGGGGAATGGTCGGTTGATTAAAGGGGAATGTTAAAGACCTGATGGATTTTGCAGAAATGTACTTGCACAGGGAAACAGCAGGTAATTTCACAGTTTCTGTTCAAATTGTGAACTACAAGGAATGGCTGTAAGGTTGCTGTCTGCTCTGACAGAGGTGATCCCTATTGCTTCATTTCCTCATCACTTTTCCTAATCCATATTACCCTCCCCCTGCATTTTTTCCCCTTGACCCACTTGGATTCTGTTACAGTAATCCCAGTGTTTTTCTCACTGCTGGCATAATGGACCAGCATGATCAAGTTACCCCAGTTTAACTGCTCTGTGTACCAAGTACAGGTTTTCAAGAAGAGTAGTAACCTGGTCTGATTTTAATAGACTCACTAAAATGTAGATTTATGTCTTAAAACCAATACTGTTCTCCATCCCAAAGCCTGGACACAGCAGATCCCCTCAAAGAAAAAGTCTCTAGTAAAAACTTGTTTGGGTTTACTTTTTCCTTATGCTCATTTTGGAAATATTTCAGTAATGAGCACTCGTAGTTGCACAGCAAAAGAAAAACAATTGGTCTGAAGCAAACATGTTGAGACAATTTTCCTGCCCAAACTTACTGTTTCCCATAATTGAAAGATTCTTTACTTGTTTATATACAAAGGAAAGAGCTTTGCCCTTACAGATGTAACTTCCCATTCAAGATCTTTTTGTAAGACTTCTTATATCGTTCCTTTTTATACATCCATATGCACATTCATACATTGATGATGTGTGTGATGATGTGTTTGAACTATAAACATGTTTGTAATGTTTCTTGTAGAAATCTGTTAATTGCAAGGCATGAGCAGAGTGTGTTACCAGGAGAACTGGCAGAGTATTTACTGCTGATTATTAGAAAATATCTTTCTGCCTAGAAGTATTGTAGGAAGGTACAAATCTGCAAGTGTGTGACAGTCATGAAGATTTTGTTACAAGATCTTTACTAGTGAATGATCAGAACAAGATAAATATATGTAAGAGCAGAATGTTTGTATTGTTGTTCTCATATTTCTTGTAATTTTTATACTGACATTTTATCTGTTGTTATGAATGCTCTCTGCATTGATTGCTCCACTTGAGACTGTTCTCCTGGAGCTCTGAAAAAGTTGTAGCACAATTCTTACATACAGCAGAACCAGCATTACTGTCCTTTTACATAGTTAAAAAAACAAAAAAAACCTCCTTTATCTTTTCAGCATTTGCACCTATACCATTTGGAGGAATTTATTTGCCACTTGAAGTTCTACCTAACAGGTGCCATTGCTCACCTCTTGTGCTAGCCTATGATCAGGCCCATTTCTCTGCTCTTGTTTCCATGGAACAAAAGGATCAACAGAGAGAACAAGGTATGCTATAAACACAGGAACCCAAGGGTATTTATTGAATACAATGGACAAAGTACTTTCTTCTACCTGTAGGTGTATTTACCTATCAGAAAGGAAACAATATCCACTAAGTGTTATTGTTGCATTCCTAGGAGGCTGAGTGGTCTAATCAAGACTAGGAGACAAGAACTCTTCAGTCCTGATCCTTGTGCTATCACTGTTTGTATTTGGCACTTAAACCTTTTCTGTCAGCTCCACATGTGTAAATAAATAGGTGTAATCATAGTTACTCTTTGTGCTGCTGGGCTCTTGAAGAACTTTGTTAATTCAGGTTAGTAAAGTGTTTGGAAGATTAGATATGTCAGATTATTGAAGACTCATGTAATGGAAGAATCTCTCTTCTAGTGTCCTAAATGCAGTTTTCTCATTTAAAAACATTTGGTGGAAACATTTTCATCTTATCACCTTGCTGTCTTCTCCTTTACTTTGGAATAGCAATAACAAAGTCTGATCGGATGTTATGTGTCAAGTGTGAACTTCCTGGATACAGGGTTGGGAGTGACAAGAGCTTCAGGACTGGATTTGTTGCTTGCATCAGTAGTCTAGGAGCTTGCTACAGCTATTTGGAAGACCTGTTTGACTAATAAAAGAAAGCTGTGAGATGAACTCCTGTCTTTGCTGCTTTTGTGGGGAAGAGAAAATTGTTTTGTCAAAAAACTCGGTTAGAAAAATTGAGTGGAGTTTTGCTCTTAGGTATATGAGTCCTTATGAGGACTCCTCCTTATGAGGAGGTTTTTGTTTTTGTTTTGTGTTGTTTTGTTGTTGGGGTCTTTTTTGCCAGATAACACTGCAGAAGTGTTTTAAATCCTTTATGGATGCACATACCTGTAAAGTAAACATGGATTGTGTGCTGGTTGTTGAGATCTTCTGAGTGAATTTCATTTAGTCCTCTTTCTTAAGAGAGTAGTTTAGAGGCAACTAAATCCTTCATTTAATTCCCTAACCCTGAGAGCATTTAATCTGATTTTGGATGTATTAGGCATTTTTCATGCTTATGAGACAGCATGCTGCATCTGTGCATCTGTTCATTAAAATGATGCAGAGGAGGAAACAGAATTGTTATAGACGTCTTCATGCAGGAGTTTGACATCCAGTTAAGTCATCCTTCTAGGAAGAAGCAGGGAGTTTCTTACATGAGGTTGTGTGAGATGAGAAATTTCTACAAAGGATTGCATGTGGTATTGATAAACTTTGTGTTGGTGAGGAGGAGACTGAGTCATAAGACAATATTGGAAAACAAGTTTGATCTAGATGTCAGGTATTCAGATAATGGCAAAAATTGATCCTGTCCAACTGTTCAGCCTTCAGGGGCACTTAGCTTTCAGGGAATTGTAGGTAGGTGCTTTGCAGTAGGACTGGCCAGGACAGTGGTCTGTCCTGGACATCCACTTTGGACATTGCAGCTGCCTTCTAGCCCTCAATCTGTAGAAGAGCAGTCCTTAGGAAAATGCTTTTCACACAGGATCTGTTTCCAAAGCAGTGCAATGAGGTGTGATGTGAAACACCTTGTGAGGAACAAAAGTTTGCAAAGCAAATTAATGCTATTTCAATGCAATAATGTGAGATAAATGAAGAAGGAGTTTTGGAGAGTCTTTCTAAAGTTTGTTTCAATGTTGATGGCTGTCAGCCTGACTGCTGTTGATCCACTGCAGCCAGGACTGTAATGTCATCATGTTATTAAGTTAACAGCTCCTGCATCTATGTCTATGTTATAAATTTTAGAGTTTTCTTGTTGTAGAACATGCCTCCATGTCTTTGGCCTTGATCCTTTCTAGGTCTGAGTTCTGTTGGTGGTGAAACAAGACAATTTCTAGAGTAGATAGAATCCATTTCTTCCTGTCTTAAGAATTTGCATTGGAATAGTATTGGTGGACTGACAAGACCCTCATTTATTTCAGGCACGCCTGTCTGCCTTCATATAATACTTCATTATCACAGGTCTTACAAGAGCCTGTGTGCATAAATAATTTGATTGAATACACAGAACATAATTATCTCTGCAATTACTTTGCAGATAGGGTAACCACCACACACCATATCTTTTGCTAATCTGGTGTCCTTTAAGTGACAGGCTTGACAAAAGATCTGAGGGAAATTACTGTTCAGCTGCTCTGACCCTGCCTCTCAGTAGTTGTGATTCAGTGATACAACTTAGTGCCATCTAATGAAATATTCCTAACATTACAAGCCATATAATCAACACTGCAAGATCTTGGGGTTCAGAACAAGGTCATATGTTTGATTTCTCCCACAAGTGTTTTGTAAGAAGATCCATTTTTACATGTTTTACTGCAGGGCCTTAAATACACAGGCTTTGATTCTGTGGAGCAGCAGAGACCACTTGGCATTAAGTCTGGGACAAAGGGGATGCTTTAGCTTTCAGCTTCAAAGCTGGTTGCAGTAAGAGACTGCAGCAGTCTAACAGCTAACACAGCTTTGCTGCTGTTCTTCAGATGCTGTGACAGGAACTAGACTGGCACAAGGATGCTCACATAGTGCCTATTTTTTTGTACCTTGTCAGCATAGAGATGTTGGCAGCTTTGGCATGGAAGAAGGGAGGAGTCAGAAAACAAGGGCACAGGTGCCCCAGTATGTTGCCAGATTTTGAACTAGGAGAATGTAGCTGAGAGCTTGGAGCTACAGCCTCTTAAAAGGAGCATCTCTGATAGCCAGGCCTTTGTCCTCTTGCCTGGAGAGGATTTAAAACACATTTTGATATGTCTTCTTTTTACCAGCACATAGCTGGCATTCTGATGGTCCTGTTGTTTTGAAATCCTCAATATCTGATTAAAAGCTATAACTACTTTTGGCAGAATATGTTTTTCATTGGAAAACTCCCAACAGTTAATTGTGCTCTCAGTTATGCCAGCCTCTTCGTTGCAATAATTTTATTAAATACAGCAGAGTAAGCCCACATATTACACCAAGGAGTGTTAAAAGTGTATTCAGTTGTCACCTCTGCTGTACATTTCTTACATTTTTGTGCTTCAGGCGCTCGCTTTATAGTGAATTTTAAACTGTAGAGTTAGACTCTCTGGTACTTATTCACACTGAGTTCCTTTGAGAAGAAATTCTGTTACAGTATTAATTTCTGTGCATCTTGCAAAGGTATCTGCAACTGAAGTTAATAAGTATCCAGCTATTCTATACTATGTTTTCAGTTAACATGGGGAAAATATTTCAAGAATTACCTACTGTAAGCAGTAGAGGGCAACGTTTCCATTATTTTTTTTTAGAGGTTTGACCCTTTTTATTTCCAGTCTGCAGAGATGAAAATACATACATACTTTCTGCAACTGTTACCAAATTGTCTGAACCAAATACTGACTTCACTGTGTTAATCTAAAATGCAGATTAATTTACTGTGTTCTGCTAGGTGAGGAGCAATATTTAACCAAAAATGCTGTACCTTGGTTTTGACAAAATGTTTTCTGAACTGCAAAAAAATACTATAAACAGCATTTAGACAATAAGTGCAATCAGTTCTCAATAATTCAACACCATGATATTAGGTAATCTCTCCAGGTTTCTTTGCCCTTGGCTTTGCTGGAATAAATACCTAGGTGAAATCCTTAAGGTTTCTATCATAGAAAATTCAATTCCTTGATGGGTTGTCAGAGAAGCAGCAGTGACCTGCACTATGCTGAGGATCCCACTCACAGCTTTTAGTTTTTCTAATGAAATCGAAGCAAATTGCTGGCTTTAATTAAAGCTGACAGGGTTTTTCTCTTAGCTTCTTACTGGTGATGAGTGATTGATGCTGTAAAATCAGAGTGTAGCCCCTGCATGCTGAGTGTAAAGCAGAGTCATTCAAACATGTATCAGAAGCAGAGCCCTGGCAGAGGGGAAAGGGCAGAAGAACCAAACGGGCTGGACTGTAAAGCTGGGATAGAACAGCAGTAAAAGGCTTTTCCCTGCACTCCAGGCAGGCCTCAGACTGACCTCTTCACCCACGTACATGTTGATCCATGCTCCTCAATTATGTTAATTCACACTTCAAGTCCAAAATCCCTGTAGCTGTGTTTTGCTTTGTTTCTTAATGCTGTTATCCAAATATTTTTGTTTCTTTGACAATGGAAAACAAAAAGGTACCAAACTAAAAAGACAAAATAATTAACATGTGCGTGCCTTTGTGTGACAGACAGTCAGGAGTATTTACAAATGTATGGTTTTCTGCTACTCTAATGGTTCTGTCTCCAGGAAATATTTACTGTGCATTACAAAATGGTCATGTTGTCCTCCCAGAGGTCTCCCCAACTCCGCAGGTGACTGTCTTTGACTCTGGGAGCAATCAGTGTATTAACCTCTTCTTCTCCTGCATCAAAATTGGAAAATGGAGCCTGGTATAAATCATCTGTGGTACTCTGGATGAGGCAGTTCTGCCACACACTCAAATTCTGCTCTTTTTCTTCAACCAGTCATGCTACTTTTCATAGCTGAATAACTGTTGTTGTTTTTGTTCCCCCTCCCCAATCCTTGTTTCTTCTCTGCTTCAGCGGTGATCCCCCTGACTGACTCTGAACACAAGTTATTGCCTTTGCACTTTGCAGTCGATCCTGGGAAAGACTGGGAGTGGGGAAAAGATGACAATGATAACACCAGACTGGCCAAGTAAGACCTTTCTGTAACTTTAGTGTTAAGCAGTAAAATGTCTTGAGTCATACCTGATTGAAGTAGTGGGAGAACTGCTAACAGAGAGGGCTTTGTTCATGTTCTCTGGTTGCATGGGAGGGTCTCCAGCTGAGGGTTACAATTCAGGCTGCTGTTACATCTCTCCCCGTGTAGAAGTATTGCTTTTTCTTTCAGGCTTTTTGACTCTTTGTTCCCTTCTTTTTTCATCCTTAGTTTGATTCTGTCTCTTGAGGCAAAGCTTAATCTTCTACACAGCTATATGAATGTAACATGGATACGCATACCATCTGAGACACGGGTAAGGTCAGCTTTCCCCCTTGGTCTAAACAAGACAGGAGATAGAAGGCAGGACAGGGTGCTGTGCAGATGAGGCTGCCTGGCCTGGCCAGCTGCCTGGAGACACTCAAGGGTCCTAGCAGCAGGACAAGTCACTCAAGGCTCAATGTCATTAGAATCAGGCTTATAGATTTTTCTAGTTACTTGTTTTAATAACACAGTTGCATGTATATTTTTGCAATTCATACTCTGTTCTGAACTGTATTTTCTAGCTTACTTTTTCTGGTACTTATTTCAGTAGTCTTGTGTAGTTCAGAAAAACCTTAAAAGAGACCTTTTCTCATCATTTTCTCAGACCTTTGGCTTGCTCTCCTCGTGCAACTGTTATGTCACCAATCCCAAGTCCTTTCTCTTTCTGAGAATACATTTGTGCCCCTGGACAATTGCCAGTTTGGAGTAGCTGAAAAAAGACCACAGACTGGCATTGAGCTGGAGCCTGGTTCCTTCAGAAAGCTATTTTAGAACCAGCTGGCACCTAGTCAGCTGCAAATTTCTCTGCAAATTACATTGAATAGATTGAGTGGTTAGTCTGGAGGCAAAAGGTTGCTAGGAGAGGATGGAGGTGATTTAGACAACCTACACAGACGGGATTTGAAAGGAGAAAGAAAGCACAAAAGGAGAAAGTGTTTAACAAGCTACAAGAAAGGAAAAATCCATTTGTCTACAGTGTATGCAGTGGTAGCTACCACTTCAGAAAAAGGAGAGGCAAAATGGTCCTGTAGTTGTAAGCTGTGGGACCTGGGTTGCCTCTCCCTGTTCCACACTTGGTGCTCAGGATCCCAGAGCACTTCCCGGAGAATGGCTGGGCTCTGTGAGCTGGCCAGCTGCTCAGCAGGTCAGCACAAGCAGGGAGGTGGTGCTGCAGCCTTCCACCCAGCAGGAGCACTAACTCAGATCTTCCCATTGTTCAGACACTGATTTCCACGCAACCTCTGAGTGATTGACCTCTGTTTGGCAAATATGCTTGAAATGAGCCAAAAGCTGCTGTAGAAAAAGGCCAGATACATAGTCAGGACAGCCAAATGAGCTTTATTGGGTGAGGAAAGCAGTCTAAAATGTTGGTGCATACATTTAAAATCACTGTCAAATTCTATATTGGATCTGGGGTTTTTTTGCTCCAAGTCCCTGTATGAAACTGATTTTGCTGTATCTAATTACAATTACTTTTCCATAGCAGGCCCCTTTGGCTCAACCAGAATCCCCTACAGCTTCAGCTGGGGAAGATGTTCAGTCTCTGGCTGACTCAATGGACTCAGACCGGGATTCCATCTGTAGTAATTCCAACGGCAATAATGGTAAAAACAGTAAAGAAAAAGAAAAGGACAAGCAGAGGAAAGATAAAGACAAAAACAGGACAGATTCAGTTGCCAATAAAATAGGAAGCCTCAGTAAAACCCTGGGAATTAAACTGAAAAAGAATATGGGTGGTCTTGGAGGCCTGGTGCATGGCAAAATGAGCAGAACCAATTCAGGGAATGGAAAAAATGGTGACACAGTAGAGAAAGTCAAAGAGAAGAAGTCTAAGTCTCGAAAAGGGAGCAAAGAGGAGTCTGGCCAGTCTGCAAGCACTTCTCCATCTGAAAAGACCACTCCATCTCCAACTGACAGAGCCAGCAACTCACCCACTGAAAAGACAAACAGTAAATCCTTCTCTGACAAGCAATCTGACCCATGGAAGTACAGCACTGATGTGAAGCTCAGCCTAAACATTTTGAGAGCTGCCATGCAGGGTGAACGCAAGTTTATTTTTGCTGGCCTCCTTCTGACCAGCCACAGGCACCAGTTCCATGAGGAGATGATAGGCTATTACCTGACCAGTGCACAGGAGCGCTTCAATGCAGAACAGGAACAGAAGAGAAAGGATGCTGAGAAAAAGGCTGCACTGAATGGGTCATCTAGTAGGAAAATGGAGCCAGAAGCATATTCAAAAGAAAAATTAGAAACATCTCCTCAGGATAGAGCATCACCCGTCTTGCCTCAAAGCCATACGACTCAACTGGTTTTAAAATTTAAAGATCGCACTAGTCCCACTCCTGGGTCATTTTCTTCACCTAGTAATAGTGCTAAGAAAAGTGGACCCATTCCAGTATCTGCACACTATAGCCATACGCCACCTGTTCAGAGGCAAAGTGTCATCCATTTGCATGATGTCAACTCCAAGCCATCGAGCTTCCAAGATGATACCTACAAGCCAGTGGTTGGCACCTTAAAAACCTGTGCCACCTACCCCCAGCAAAACAGGTCACTGTCTTCTCAAAGCTACAGCCCAGCCCGGATATCTGGTATCCGTACAGTGAACACAGTGGAATCATTGAGCTATGCCATGCCTACTGAACACAAGTCTCAGACTTACACAAATGGATTCAATACTGGAGATATTAGAGACTGCTTAGAATACGCTGATGAGGATGCTCCTCAGACCTGGTTGAACAATGATAAAAATCAAGGCAGAAGCACAGTTTGCCCAATCTATTCTATCCAGCAGAACCGCTGTAAGAAGGAGAACTGTTCCTTTTATGGTCGTCCTGAGACTGACAATTACTGTTCATACTGCTACAAAGAGGAGTTAAAGCGCAGGGAGAGAGAAAGCAAGGGACACAGGCATTGAGGATTCTTCTGTGACTACTTAGTTTTACCATTTTCTTACTTACAAAGTAAACAGTGTTAAAATGCAGTAAAAGGAATCCTTAAAAAAATAATAAAGGATTGATGAGTCAATAGTGTCTAGCTTTTTGCTTTTCCGGGGCAAAGAGGAAATAATAGAATTAATTTATCATAAAAAAAGTTATTATTTTCCATTTTGTCAGTGTCTTTTTTACATATACTGGTAAGCTGAAGGGTTGTTTACTCCTTTGTCAGTGCTGTGTATATGTTTGGTCAAAAATTTACTAACGGTGCCTGAATTTACACTGACATCACTCAGGTAGTAGAATGGTAGGGGAGAGTCGTAATAGCAGAGATGTGGTGTTGTAGTAGGGTAGTATCTGCCTTGCAGACATTTGAAATTCTATAGCTGTTATAAGAGCATTTTTTCCTCAGTAAAAACTCAATTTTTCATAGCCTTTTTTTCAGGAGAAAGTAGCAATTTTTGCATACTGCACGTTTTTAACATGGCAGCAAACTGCATTACCACTGTTTGTACTCACAAGTCTGAAATTGAATGATTGTGGGAAAATGGGAATGAAGGGTCTGAATTTGTGAGGGCTGTAGCTATTCCTGATTTTAAGTTCTTACCAGTTATTTCTATATTTCCATTAAAAAGGAGATTTGAGCCACTTTTATTTGTATTACACTTTGAAACGGGTTGTATAGAAAACACAGTATGACTTGCAAGACTTCACATCTCAAAAAAATCCCACATAGCATAGTTTTGGGCACCTGAATTTCAGTAGTATTTTCATTGCTGTTAAAACTGAGAGAAATGTTAAAATTAAATTATAAAGAAAAACCAGCTAAGAAACTTAGGATCATTTTAGAGCTGAATGAACTGCTTGTCAAAACCATGTCCCATCAATTGATTCCCTTAGTCATTGCATTAATTTCATCTTTATTTATTTATTCATTTCTCAACACTAGACAGTTTTTGCAAACATAAGTGCTTTTGAGCCTTTCTTAAAGACTGTTGGCTTTGGAGTTTTCTCCTAGAGTGAGTTATGTTACTCCCTGGAAGATTCCAGGGTGAATATGAAATACTTTCCAGTATGCATGGCAACTTCTATCACAGATTTGCAGAAGTCCAGTGTCCAGATATGTAAGTATTTGGAACACTTTTGAAAGTAAAACTTTGCTCATATTTCTGCAAAGCAGACACCACAAGTACCATGTAACTAGGTGTATGACTTTAGTAACTTTTCTCCAATATAGCGCTTTGTGGTTTTGCATCCTTCTACTAGGAGCTGGCATAATGCAGTAAGAATAGATGCTGAGTGTTGTTACACTTGTAAGCAATGGCTTATTTATGGTCTACTTACATTTTTTTTTATTTTATTTTTTTTTTAAAGAGCTCATTTTCCACAAACAGGTAAAGTGTAGCTTTCTAGACTGCTTACTCTGCCACCTCAAGCTGGCCTTACTCGTTATGGAGTAGCACTTTTCTGGCCCCCTCCCGAAAAAATTCTATGCCAAAGAGTCTTTGTTACTGATTATTTTCTGCTGCACCCGAAGTTTTACTCTTGACATGGGTGGCACCATTTCACTTGCCTACACTTAATCCTGCTTAGCCTTGTAACTGAGCCTGAAGTAGTCTGTGAAACAAGGCACACAAATTTATGCTGACATACACTGGCTTTCAGGAAAAGCACATAGATAAAATTGACCATATATTTCAGTTTTCTGTGGAATTGGAGGTTTAAGGAGTAGTTACAAAGTAAGTTCATTAGCCATTCCTAAAAAGTGATGGTCTTTGCAAGGTTAACTCTTCCATGAATCCAGACCTGTAGTTTGTAATTCTTGCTGCACACTGAGCATAGGCTGAGTGTTACTGAATTTGCATTCCTTCATAAAAGGGTAACACTGATATGTGTAATGAGAGGTCAAAACTCCAAGTGACTTCTGTCCTTAAGGTAAACACGTTCTAAAACCCATGTCTCCAGTTGCCTGCACTAGTAAGCCGAGTCCTTTTCTACATAACTATTGTCATTACACATAAATTCTCATTGCCAAAGAAATCTGTGATTACAAATTATGCTATATCAGGCCAGATCACATGAAAAGTGCGGAATATCACACTTGATTAAATTTGTTGCTGAGACAGAGACAACTGACAAGATAAAACTTCATGAAAAAACCCCAAATATTAAGAATTCTAGGGCAAAAGAGTAGCAGTGGTATTTGATTCTCTGAAATTGTTTCTGCATAAAGTTGTGCTTAAGAAGTATAACATTAGCAGCAGACTACACCAGCCTATGTATTCAAGTCAGTTGTATCCTTTCTGAATGAGGAGAAAAGCAACAGCACATACATAAAAATAAGCAATTACCATGAGAATTTGATGTTTCCCCATTTTTCAAAGGAGTTGTTTTTATAAGATGTTTTTAAGATCTAGTACTCACAAAAGAAAGAGGTTTACAGCTGGTCAGTATTTACATCAATTGCTCTGTCCTAAATTATTGAACAGGTTGTATCTCTGTGTTCGATTATTTTGAAAAATTGCTTGGTCTTCTGAATAACAACAGGCTTTTCTCTATATGATTCTGAGCTACAGTGTTTGCTGTCCTCCTCAACTCTCTCAAATAATTTCTGTGAATATCTACCACTACTTAATTGCTCATTTTAAATATCTGTTACATGAAATACTGACAGAACACCTTTTAGTTGTGCCTGTTTTCTCATAATTCCTTCCTTGATGTGTCTGAGTAATTTGTATAATATTGTTCTTTTCTTAAAGAACTTTCTTCCAATATCCCACTATTCTCTTGTCTCTTAGCATTTGATACTTAAGTGTCAGACCCACATGCAATTTGCCAGTTAAAATCTACCCATCTTTTCCTAGTAGTTGTCCTTTATTTTTTTATAAGTAATTATGTGATTTTTTTTTTGTTGTTGTTTTATTTCTAAGCTATTTGTGGCAGTTGTCTCAAGGGGAGATCATAGCTGGTATTAAACAGTCCAATTGTGGGGGAACAGTGCCTCCTCCTGAAGAAGTGTTTGTCCCATTAGAAGAAGATTTTAGGTGTAAGATGACATTTTCTACACATTTTTTTCAGAGAGAATTCCCAGCAGTGCATGAGTTGCATTCACCAGCACTGAAACAAATTTAGCTAAGTATGAGAGGGAATCATCTTCAAATGTATCTTTCTGTTGCCCTAAATGGCTAACCTTTGGCTGCTCTTCCACTTTCGTTTTCCTGACACTGAAAGCACATGTAGCCCAGCAAGTAATTTTCTGGGTCTGATTTGCCCTCTCTGTACCTTCCAGCATGTGTCAGAGTTACTGCTTAGTCCCAGCTGTACAGAAATCAGTGTTGGTTTTGGAGGACCGTGCTCACATCTTCTGTTAGCTCAAGAGGCTGCAATACACCTGCATATTTTTTTTGCAGTTGTATGCAGTTTTATGTGCTTTTCTCCCCTCAGTAGTGATTCAACAATTATCGCTGTTGTCCAGATGTCAAAAGTACAGACTAAATCCTGCGCAGGCTACACCTTCCCATAATAGATCTAAAATACCAGGGAGTATTTAGAGGAAACTGGCATTTTTTTAATGTGTGAATGTGCAGCTTTTCTAATTCAAAAAAGGCTTAAACCTATTATGCAACTTTTATACTTGGTTCATAAACTCTGATGCAAAGGTCTGTTCGTGTGCCTGTAAGACATAATGGGTTTCAGTCACACTTTATATTGAAGTTCCTTTCAAAATGCTTTAGAAAGAGCTAATGAACTATTGCTAGTCTTTACAAGCACTTTTTCAGGTGTGAGTATCAGCTGTAGCATATGGCTAACAAGCAGCTCATTCAGAAGAAGGTGGTGATCAAAAGTAATTTCAGCTATTTTGAATTTTAAAACAATTGATTAAGCTTTTGTTATTATGGTTCATTAAGCTTTATAAATGCAATGGAAATACATGTGTGACCCAGCTTTCTTTAGCGATTCCTTCTTTCTAAGTCAAAGGTAACATGAAGGGGTCAGTGAAAGAAAGATGCTGTACTTGAAAAGTTTTGTGTTGTTAATTTCATAAGAAGTTGCAATAGGCCAAATCTTCGTAGTTGTCTAAACTTGCAGAACTCGTGATGTGAGCAGTGTTCCTTGATTCAGAAAGCATCACGGAGAGACACTTAATGTGGATTTGCACACCATGTGGCTGCAGATCAGAGCAGTCTGCTGAGGCAATAGCAATCCTTGTACATACAGGCATATTCAGGGTAATCTACTTCTCGTGTGATGGATGTGTAGATATCAACAAATGCACAGCACAGATCTGACAAAATACTGCCCTGTAACTCTGATTCTGTGAACAGGTATACCGGTGCTCAACTTCTCCCCTGTGACCAGTCTCCCCAACATCAAGGAGACTGCTTGCTGTCAAAAACTCAACATAGCTGTAAAGAAGCAGCATAAATGTTTGTGGGATCAAGGCCTGAACCTTTAGCCAGTGTTTGTTCTCCTCGGGCTGCCTGACATTACTCTTCCAAGTAGCAAATCCATGAGAATTTGGCCTGAGGAGCAGAAGGAAGCCTTAGGCCTCTTTGGGCTAAACCTGCTGTCCTCTGAAATCTATGGACAATCCTGTTAGCAGTGGGGGCCTTAAACCAGGTGCTTCATGGACACACAAAATACTTGCAAACTGTATGTGAAAGTAAAGCCTGAGCTAGTAAGGCGAGCAAGGTCTTTCTAACACTAGGAATGTTTGGCACAGATAAAACCCCATATGTTAATAGAAGCCACAATAATCTCAAATAAACATATGTCCAGAGAAGCAAAATAACTGATGCTGATTGTGGATGGCTTTTCAGTGCATTTTAAGTCTGTATTTGAAGAGTATTTGTTTTAGGGTATGGCAACTTATGCAGAGGATCACCAAACAGTATATAGCCTGAAATTCTAATTATTTTAGTAGCAGACACTAGCATCTATTTTAATTTGCACATTAATTTCCAGTGTATTTGACTAAAATACTATATTGTTAAAAAAAAAAAAAGAGAGGAAAACAACACGAAGTTGTTTGTAAGTATGTTCTGTTTGTAGACTTAAGGCTGTATTATGTTGGAATTTTACAAGC